GAAACCAGGCTAGGTCAGGCACAGGGTCTCAGGCAGGTTCTAGCAACCAGCAATGTTGCTCCTGCAACCTGGGGTGGGGTCCGACAGCCTTTTGTTTTTGTTGGGGTAACAGCCGGTCCTGATCCCCCAGTGACTCACCTCCCTGCCTCACCCGAAGGCAAGCACTCCTCCTGCGAGTACTCAGTTCTCTCCTTCTCTCAGACTTTAGTCTCTGCAGCTCGGGAGATGTCGGTGGGTTACTAGACCCAGAGGCCGCCTCAGCCTCTCCTGACCCAACTGGTAGTGGAGCAGCTGTAAGTGATTGCCCAGCTGAAGGCAACAAGGTAATCCCCGCATCTGGAGCCAGGGCAGGCTCAGGCCGCTGACTCAGCCCAGCTGGTGCTTGTTGCAGGGGAACTTGTGCAGACTGGGGCTCTTCAGAATCAGGCCCCAGACTTGGTCCAGTTGCCACCTGAGGCAAAGGATCCAGTGTGGACTGAGACTCCTCTGGTTCCGAGTCTGAGCCCAAGTCCCAGGCCATTACAGAGAAATGCACACACGTATTTCTTCATCCAAGCAAGTAAGAGGCATTATCACAGCACAAGGACACATTTCAGCCATGCAAAATCACTAGAGGAGGATGTGGCACAGGGAAGTGAGGGGGATAGGCTAGGGAAAGGGAATTTGATCTGAAAAGGGGATGTGACCTGGAGGGAGGTCTGGGGGCCAGATGGAGAGGCTTGGAGGACTGCATTGGCCCTGGACATGAAGGTCCTCATCCCTACTATAAGGTGACCTCTAGTGCCCAGGAACTTCATGTTCTCATTGGAACCCCTCCATGCCATAACCACTAGATTAATGATCTGCAGAGGAGTTATTCTAAAACCTGGAGAAAAACATTATTCAGAACCTGTCCGGGGAAGCCGCAGTTGTGATTTGCTTTTGAAAGCAACATGAGGAAATTGAATTTCCTGTTGCCACAAGACCAGCCCTTAACTGTTTAATTTTATTGTCAACCTAAAATAATTAAGCAATTGATCAAAAGCAAGCCGCAGATTTAAAGCATCTCATTGTACTCTCACAAGACCTATTGCAGCTAAAAGAAATCATTAACATATTTACCCACTACAAATTGAGCCCGGGCTTTTTTACCAGACCCTCCCAAATGTAGCTATCTCTAGAAGTTACAGTGTCTGTTTCCTCCGTTGGCGTACTAGCTGCCACTGTGTATGTCATATTTAACGCCGGAGCGTATTATCCAAGTGTCATGTCATGGCAGCTGGCCGAGTGCCAACCTCCTCACTGCAGGACCCAATCTAACAATTTTGCAAGTATATATTGACCCGCAAAATTATATAGCATGCCGAAACAAATGCAGAGGCTCAAAATGCCTAAATGGGCATGAATGTGGGTTTTCCAGGTAGGTTGAGAAATGCGCGTTTTTGAATGAAAGGATTCCCAACATCTGGCAAGGCAAATGTAGTTTGTTTTCTTTCTGCCCCTCTCGATCCTCCACCCAGAAAGGAAGGGTTGTTCTCAGAGTTCAGAAACACTTTGCAGCCAGGCAAAAGCACTTGCAATGCAAAGCAGGGGTGTAGCCTGGGGAGCATCCTGAGAGCTAGCTAGAGGGACCTAGATGCTACATTCCCTTTCCAGGGGTTCTAGGCAAATGCCAGTAATGGGCAGGGCCAGAGGCAGAAGCGAGCAATGAAATTAATACAGATCTTCCTTTGTACAGAAGACTCCACACACAACTCACACGTTTTTCCCTATCCTCTGCCCAGACAAGCAAGAGGCATCATCAGAGTTCTAGCCAGGCAAAAACACTTAAGAAAGGTGCAGATCCAGTGAAGTGGTGTGGCTTGGTGAAAGGGTATGGCCCGCAAAGATTCCCAAGGGCCAGATCAAGAGGCCTGAGTAGCTGCATTTGGACACTGGACCTGAGATTCCCCACCCTTGGACGAGACCATCATTGGCCACCAGCTTTGCTCCCACTTTGCGCTCCCCCAGTGGTGAAATCTGAGAGTGATGTTTGCGCGTAGCCCTAAATAAGAGTGAGTAGGTGTGCAAACCAAGCCCTAAATAAGAGTGAGTAGGTGTGGTTTCTGCAAGGGCCATCAAGCAAACCCAATGTGACTTTTGCACAAAAGTAACGTCTCCCACCAGCTCCAATTTATATCACACAGGGTTAATAATTTGAATGAGTTTATGCAATGCATTTGGTAGAAAATATTTGTATAAAAATAAAATAAAATAAAATAAAATCGAGGAACTCTTTTTTATTCTCACTGAGTTTCTGATGTTGCTGTTAAGACCATTTCTGGAACAGATGGTTGATTCCTGGTTTTCCTTTTCCTTTTCCTTTAATGCACATGCTGTTAACACTTGACCTCGTGTGTTCTCTTTGGATAATGATTCAAGCATCATTAGAGGGGAGGGGAATGCTGTTGGGTTTTTTGTGTTTTTTAATGCTCCTGTTAACACCCGAAATTTAACTCACTGTAAGCAAAGTCAGGCATTCTTGTTAAGTATAATGCTGTCTAAGCAATTGCGTGGCTCTAGGGAACACGTGAATTTCCAGAACCATATTCACACATGGAGATGAACAAATGGAGAGCAGGAGCAGAATGGGAGCAGAATGCAGACACTACAATACAAGCCATAAGCATGCATCCTTTCTCACAAACTCAAGGACATAACTGTTAGAATTCCTGCTCTGTGATTGCAGTCATGGGATTTTTGTCTATCACATGACGGTGTATGTTTTGACTCCACAGAGTGGGAAGTGACGGAGACAGGATGTTTGTGTTACTGTGTTCTGTGAAGTGGGACTATTGTCCTTTCTTCTTTTTCTCTTTACTGTCTGATGCTAGAGAGAGAGGGAGCCATGTTGCAGTGCTCCGTGTGTGTTTATATGTAAATAAAGTAGATTAGCCAAAATGCTGAGTTGCTGAGGTCTGTCATGCGATCTGTACAGACTCTGAGGATCCCTAGGTATGCCGGTGTTGGTTGGCATCGGTCGCTGTGATGTTCGGGCTGAAGAAAGCTTTTGAAGCTCCCAAACGATCGACCAGGAGGGAGAGAACATACCAGTTGGGCATGTTTCTCTACCAGGGTTCTACTCGAGTGTAGGATGAGCTCCTGACAATAAAGACATAAAGACATAAGATAGATTGGACAAGTGGCCCATCTAGTTCTCACAGTGGCTGTTGGGAAGCCTGCAAGATGGACATTGGTGCAACAGAACTCTGCCCACCTGCAAATCCCAGCAACTGGTTTTCAGAGCCATACCACCTCTGACAGTGGTGGTGGAACACACCCTTTGTGGTTAATAGACATTGATGGACTTGTCCTCCATTCATTTGTCCAATCCTTCTAAAGCCATCCAAGTTGATGGCTATCACTGCCTCCAATGGGAGAGAGTTCCATAGTTTAACTATGTGCTGAATGAAGAAGTGTTTTCTTCTATCTGTCCCAAATTTTACATCATTCATTGGATGTCCATGGATTCCAGTGTTATGAGAGGCAGGGCCCCTGGTCAAACATACAGAGCCTATGAGTGTTAGAGTTACAGTCCTCTGTATTGAAGATGTCCTCTGTTTGATGGCTGTCCAGTCCAAGTCTGGTTTAAAGATAGGGAAACATGATAAAAGAAGAACAAGAGCCCTGAAGTTGCCCACCCCCAGTTAGCAGTACCTGGTCAGCAGACTAAGCCACCACTGTGGTGATAGTCACTATATTTCTATTTCAATCACAATCATATTACTTCTAACTCTGTGTCTAGGTCTATATTAGCTGCAATGCATCTGATGAGATGCACTTTGTAGCTCCATGGAAGCTCACATGTCTTGTATCCATATTGCATGTATAAATAAGTGAAGTCCACCAGAACCTGAGGTCCAACATACCTGTTATATTCCCAGTGGAGACACCCTCTATACCTACATAGTCCTGAAACAGAGCAATGGACCTTTGGACTGAGTTGAAAAATAATATGACTAGCAATTGGATTTTTTAATAGGTCATACTTGATGGACACAGCAGAATGATTTGAATCATCCCAGTTGCTGCAATCTTCATCTGATGCCCTTCTCCATGTGCTCCCTCCATGTGAGGTCCACAGAGTGGCAACAAGAGAACATTTACAACGGTGGCTTCCCCCTTGTGGAATGCTCTCTCCAAGGAGGCTTGCCTAGTGCCCTCAATGTCTAGTTTTTAGGCACCAGACAAACCTTTCTCACCTGGGCTATTGGCCCTTAGCTGAAGGGTCTTTAAATATTTGTGGCCTCTTCTGGTGGGGGGAAGATCTGCTAGACCTGCCATTTAACTGAACAGATGTGTGTGTGTTTGTGTGTTTAGATTTTTATTGATTATGTTTATTGTAATTTGGAGTCATTTTTATGAGTAAAGCAACAACAACAACAATTTACTTTGAAATGTTCTCCCCACATCAAGCTGTTCTCCGATCTCAATCTTCCCTCAGGCTTGGAGGAAGTTGCCGATGGAGAGGCTACATCTCTTGTGGGGTTTCAATCTCTATTCCTGAACCTTGTCCAGACTCTGTGAATGCAGAAGATACATCCATATCTCCTTCACTGGCTACAGAATTGGTGGGTGGTTCTTAAAGAGCAGAGTGATTGGGCCAAAAGCAAGACTGAACCAGCCACACTGCACTGAGGCAACAGCTCCAACCACTGCTTTGCCCAAGAGCCGGTTGCATCTCTGCCTTCCTTGCTGTTACCATGCTTTGCCAGATGTGACTCTGCTACATCTGAGGGGTGTTGCCTTACTGTGCTGGTCACCTAGAAATGAGTGGCTGCTCAGAAGCCAACTTCACCCAACAGCCTTAAGTTAGGACAGAATAGGACAACCCTATTTGAATATCAGCTTGCAGACAAAGTCATTTAGCGGCAGAGGAAGCTGCTTCATACTGAGTGAGACCACTGGGTCCATCTAGCTCAATAGTGTCTACACTGGCTGGCAGCACCTCTCCAGGACAGCGAGTCTCTCCCAGCCCTACCTGGAGATGCCAGGAATTGAACCAGGGACCTTCTGCATTCAAAGCAGATGTTCTACCACTGAGCTGTATCCCTTCCCCAATTCTTTCGGTGTAGATGCAACATAGAAGCAAGCTTCTATTTGTTGTTCCAAGGACAGAGAAGAAGAATCCTCATCCACTTTAGGTAGTCCTATGCAGTTTGCTTGATGGGAAATACATAAAGTTCCATATAACTTTGGGGCGGGGAAGTTTAAATTCATTCTGCTTAAGTACATGTCCTTGTAGCAATAAAGATACAGAGTGAAATTGCTTCTGCAAAAGATATGTCCATAATAGCTTGGGTAAATTTCATAGTTTTCCCAGGGAAAAAAAATCCAATTAAGCAACATTAATGTTTGAAGAAAGAAAGAAAAATTAAGATTACAAATGTCATGCACATCTGCAGAGATGGAGCCAGATGTTTCTCTGTATTGACTCATTTAAACATTTGGGATATTCCTGCTGAGAGAATATGAGGACTCTATTAAAAAGATATTTAGTTTTTCAGATTACGAAAATTATAGTCATCAACCAACTCTACAATAGGCATGTGTCAGGGGTTCAGGAGCAGAGGCACAGGAAAGGGAGGAAATAGAGAGCGAGGGGGAGGAGTCCGAAGGAAATGTTAGCGATGACAGCGGTCCGAGGTCTCTGAGTCTTTCCAGCGAATCGGAAGATTCACAGAAAGGGGCTCCCTTGGTCAGAGCAAGGGGGTGCCGAGGGGACACCCCAGGAAGAAGGGGCCAGAGGGGACTCAGAGAGCAGCAGTTGGAAATCAGGACCAGCGTCCACACCAGAGTGCAGTAGGGGGGAGGAGTCCCAGGCATCGGGATCAGGCGGCGCACTGCCAGTGGGAGGACATGAGTCAGGATTGGCCACGCCTCCATCGGGGAGCGAGGAAACGGTCGAGAGGAAGGTTGAAGGCTGGGCGCGCGCGCAAGTGCAAATGTACAGGAGGGCGGCGCAGTTGGCAGCCCGGATAGGGAGCCAGGTCCCAAGCCCGCCGAAAAGAGGGGGAGGAGTCAGGAGGGTCAGCGTCAGAAGAATCCAGGAAGGAAGGGACCCCGGGGGGTAGCAGGACCCAGAGGAGAAAGGAGAGACGTAAGAGGTGGAGTAAGGCTAGAATCTTAAACTGGTGTACAGGGGCGGAGACTCAGATGGAGCTTCGCCGATCTAACCCCTAGACGTAGAGCTGGGGCGCTCCGGCTTGAAAATGGAAACTGTACTTCAATAAAGACTTTTGCACATTACTGCCGGCTAGCGTTGGTCCTCTGTGAGCTGGGACCTGGAGCCAGCTCTGACAGTAAGCTCCATCTCATAAAGTTTTGCACCAAAACCTCGTAACGTGAGTGGACGCAGCGAGGGAAGAAGATTGGTGCTTTGCGAGCTCACAAAAGTCAGGCAAGATGACTACAGAACAGCAACTAGCAGCCCTGCAAAATGCAGTGACACAACTCAACGCGGAGGTACTCGCATCCAGGAAAAGGGAAGAGGAAGCGGCTGCCGCCTGCAGGGATCTCCAAGCCAGGTTGGAAGTGCTTGCTAAGCAGGGGCAACCGGGACCCAAATCAGAGGGGATTGGGCTGGGGAAAAGAGGAGGCAGCCTGGTATCTCATTTCGATGGGAATTTGCAGCAGTACCCTAACTTCCGAGCAGACGTGCTGTTTGCGCTGGAACTGCTGGATAAAGACTTTAGAGATGAGCAAGAGAAGGTGGGGTTTATCTTGTCCCATTTGCATGGGGAAGCTAAAGCGTGGCTGCGCAATCTGTGGAGAGATAAGGATCCGGCGCTCCAAAATGCGGATGCATTCATTAAAGCGATGGATTCGTGTTTTTTATCAAATATAGACATTGATATCGCCAGAAAAGACATACATGGGCTCAAACAAGGCAGAGCCAGTGTAAGGCAGTACCATTCCCGCTTTTTGCATTAGTCCATGCGCTGGGATGGGAGAAGGATTCTGCCCCAGTCAGAGACCTTTTTTTGGGAAGGCTTGAATGCAAATGTGAAAGATGAGATTGCAAGGGGGGAGAGACCAAAGAGCACTCAGGAGGTTGTCCGGCGGGCGCTGCAAATTGGGGTGCGTCTGGAAGAACGTCCATGGAACAGAGAAGAAGGACGTTGGGGACGTACGCCAGTGAGAGCACCTCCCCTCTTTCCCAAGGATACAGCGCGTGTGCAATCCCCACCTCCGCAAGGAGGGGAGAGCAACCGATGGAGATTGGAGGCGCCAGGGCTCAGTCAACAACCAGAGCCTTAACACCGGGAGCAGTCAAAGCGAAGCCTCCTAGAGGGAACAGGAAGTGCTACATCTGCGACAGTGCTCAGCACATGGCGAAAGAGTGTCCCCAGAGGCTCCACAAGCACACTGCAGCCTCAGCAACAGTAACAGAAGCAACTCAGCAGAGAGAAACACAGCAGGGAAACGACAGAGTCTGGTTGGAGGAAGAGGCACTGGGGCCCAACCAGACAAGTCAATGAAGCCGTCCCCAGAGATTTTGCAGCCCACAGACCCCCTCCCGCCCAAACCAGTGGTGCAGCTCACAGCATCGCTCCAACTACCCAATGGACTCACTATGGAAGTGCCGATTACCATTGACTCTGGTAGTAACGCAGACTTCATAGGACTGGATTTCCTTCAAGAGCACAACATAGCACTCCTGCCAGCCACGCTGCCTCTGAAAGTTGTCACGGTGGATGGCAGGGAATTGCTGGGGGCAGGTGGTGCAGCAAACGCCTCCGATGGTGATGCAAATTGGGAATCACCGAGAAGTCATCAGCTTCAATGTCACCCAACTGTCGGACACGCCTATAGTATTAGGCATGAGTTGGCTGCACAGGCACAGCCCAGCATTGGCGTGGTACCAGCGACAACTGACCTTCGGCTCCTCATACTGTGCGGAACATTGCATTCTGCCTAGCCCGGAAGGGGAAGAGGATGACCCGCAGCTACAATTAGGCACGCTGCAAGCAGTGCCACTCAAGTACGCAGCGTTTTGGAGGTTTCTGCGAGAAGGAAGCGGACAAGCTACCTCCCATCAGGTCTTATGACTGCAAGATTGACCTCCTGCCAGGGGCGACGCTGCCAACCGGGAAACTGTATTCCATGTCCGAAGACGAGCTGCAGGAACTCAGGGAGTTCATAGACCTCAACTTGAAGCGCGGTTTCATCCGGGAGTCGAAGGCAGTGGGGGGCAGTCCTGTATTCTTTGTGAAGAAGAAGGACACGCCCCAAAAAGGCTTGTGGTGGACTATAGAATTTTGAACTCAAAAAACCAAGCCCACAGCCTTTCCCATGCCCAAGATAGATGACCTGCTCGCAACGGTGAGGAAAGGACGCGTTTTCACAAAGTTGGATCTGCGAGGGGCGTACAACCTGATTCGCATGCGGGAGGGCGACGAATGGAAGACTGCCATGTTCACGCCCCTGGGCACCTATGAATACAGAGTTATGCCCTTTGGATTACAAAATGGCTCCCACTGTTTTCAAGCCTTCATGCATCACGTATTGGCGGGTCTCCTCTACAAGAAATGCGTCTGCTTCCTGGACGACATCCTGATATTTTCAGAATCAGAGGAGGCCCACGAGGGAGACGTCAAGGAAGTTCTGCAGAGACTGCAGGAGCACAGGCTGTACGCCAAGCTGGAAAAGTGCCAGTTCGACATGAAGGAAGTAGATTTCCTGGGCTACAAGTTGTCGGACAAGGGGCTCGCCATGGACAGCGCCAAGGTTCGCTCAGTGTTGGACTGGAAGAGCCCGCGCAATCGGAAGGAGGTCCAACGGTTTGTCGGTTTCGCCAACTTTTACCGCAAGTTCATCAAGGGGTTCGCGATGCAGACGGCAGCCATTACCGACACACTCAGCTCCAAGAAGAAGAAGTTCATCTGGACGGAGCAAGCGGAACAGTCCTTTCAGAAACTCAAGCGTCTCTTCTCGTCCGAAGAGCAGCTACTGCATGTGAATCCCAGCAGACCGATGAGGGTTGAAACGGACGCCTCAGACAGAGCCGTGGGAGCAGTACTGTTGCAGCAAGACCCGCATGGGGACTGGAGACCGTGTGCCTTCTACTCCAGGAAGCTCAGCAAGTCAGAGCAGAACTACACCATCTGGGACAGGGAGTTGCTGGCCATTCATGCAGCATTCAAGGCGTGGCGGCACTTCCTCATTGGAGCCAAACACACAGTGCAGGTCCGCACGGACCATAAAAACCTGGAGTACTGGCGCACGGCAAGGTTCCTGAACCAGAGGCACATACGATGGGCGGAGTTCTTTGCGGATTTCGACTTCAGGATAGAGTACATCCCAGGCGACAACAACATCATGGCGGATGCACTGTCCAGAAAGCCGCAATACCTCGAGGAGGCGGCACCAGCAGCGGCCAAGCACATTTTCGCACCGAAAGCGTGGGCGTGCGCTTCAGCAACCGTGGACCTGGATGCTGTACGTCGAGCACTGCAGGAGGACCCCTTCGCGCAAGCAAAGATGGCAGAGGTGCAAAGGGGCACGGCGGAGGACGACGAGTTCCAGATACGCGACGGATTGCTCATCCGCAGAGGGGCCCTCTACGTACCGGGAGACGACCTCCGCGCGAAAGTACTGCAGCAGTTGCACGACGCACCCACCGCCGGGCACTTTGGCAAAGAGAAGACGGTAGAATTAGTAGCCAGAGATTTTTGGTGGCCCAAGATGCGGGGGAAGTCGCGGATTACGTCTCGAGGTGCGACACCTGCCAAAGGGCCAAGTCAGTGCACAAACCGCCGGCGGGACTGCTCGAACCGCTGCAGACACCGATCGAACCGTGGGAGAGGGTGGCCCTGGACTTTGTCACGGATCTACCCAGCTCGAGGGGCAAGACGGCAGTGCTAGTGGTGGTGGACATGTTCACCAAAATGGCCCACTTCATTCCGTGCGCGAAGGTGGCCACGGCGGAACAGACCGCCAAACTGTTCATAGACCACGTGTTCAGGGTTCACGGTCTGCCACGGTCTATCCTGTCCGACCGGGGCGACAGTTCATCTCGAACTTCTGGCAGAAGCTGATGGGTTTCCTGAAC